TATATATATATATATAATTGGGGTTGAGGCGGAGTGTAAACTTCACTCCTCGTTTCCAAATTATATTCCTATTAATCCCATTCCTACCCTGTCCCTGCTAAGGCAGTCTCCATCCTCATCCCTACTTGGTTGGAGAGGTTAGGTACTTGGTGGGGATGAAGACATGGGTGGAGCTAGGGGGACCTAGGGGTGCCATGACCCCCTATAGCTCAGAAAACCCCACATAAATTACACTCTCCCATGTATATTTTCCCCCTCGCCCCACTCCCCACCCCAATGGTTGCCCCCCTCCCTCCAATCCACTTTAGGTTTTCTCCCCCTCATAAAAAATTCCTAGCTCTGCCTCTAGATGAGGAAAATTGTTATCCCTATCCCTGTGTTGTATAGCCCCATAGAGCAATAAGTTTTAAGTCCAGTAAACCCTAAAATATTTTTCCTATGCATACCTTGGGGGCTTGATACATTATATAGCAATATAGGCCACATCAACAACCTCTCCTTCTCCTATTCCCCCTTCTCTCATTTCTCGTTTACTCCCTTTCCTTTTTCCCTTGCCCCTTCCTAGCCCTTCTATGTAGCCATGTGGCAGCCCTCTCTTTTTCGCTAGAGTCCCACTCCAACTCTCTCTTTCCCATGTTCCCAATCACTTAGCAATCCCTCCTAAAATTTCTCCTAAATTATCTCTCCCACCTAAAATTCCTCCTAAAACACCTCTTAATCTAATTATATGCCCAATAAACCATCTAATAATAAAAAATGTGGTTAAATTAATTAGTTAAATTAATTTGTGAAATGTTTTTGATATTTTTGATAATTAATAATACCATTGAATATTATTCAATAAACACCAACACTAAACTATAATTTTGGTAAATTAGAAAATTTAATTATTAAAAATTATTAATTTTGGTAATTTAATTTAGTGAAAATTAAATCATAAAACTTTCAATTATTCAAATAAATAATTGCAAAATTTTATTAATTTCTATAAGTATTGGATACTACCTAGGAATGCAATGGGCAGGTTCGGGGGATGGGGGATTGTACTCCTTATCTCAATAAAGACAATCTCCCCATTGGGGACTTAAATCCCTGAATTTTTTAATTAAAAGTTTATTTTCAGAATGTATTTATTTAAAATAAAATAAAAGTTAAAATCCAAATAATATTTTAAGGGTAAATTTCTTAAACTGCCCTTACTAATTGACAAACTATACCTTTACTATTTAATTATTGTCTTAAACCAACCTTATTGTTTTTTACAATTGTCTAAAACCTCTTAACCGTCTGTTAACGAAAAGATTAAAAAGACTGTTTTATCCTTTATTTTCCTTCAAATTTTCAAAATAAAACGAAAAAAAGGGGAAGTACAAGTTGAGAGAGAGATGGAGTGTGTAACACTGCCTTCTACTTCTCTCTGGTTTCACCGCATTGAAATCACTCTCTGTAAACTTAGTTGATCTCGGTTGGAAGGTAAAGCCACCATCGAGAAAGGTAAAAGGAAAAGTGATTAACAAAAAGAACCTTTCTTTCGGCATTTTGGGAGTGCGTACAGCAACGTTCTGAACAAAAGCATCGGCCTTCGTCAGCGGAGGACACTACGGAGGCGGGGGCCACTCCAAATGCGAGTGCAACTGCGGCTGTGGTTGTGGAGGAGGACATAGGAAGTTGAGATTTCCGTTAACGGATGAAAATCATGGCTTCGGTTTTGCAGAAAAGCACTGTGTATTGGCGCAAAAAAATCCCATAGAGAAGCCTCAATTTGTGGGGGCATGGGTATTTCCTACGACATTCCCATCGCCTACGGTAATCTCCAAAATGCATGGCTTCCTTGCATCCCTAAGCAATTGCTGGTTAGTTGGTTCCGCTCTAAAATGACAGAGGTGGATGCAGGATTTCTATTATGTAACCAACGCGGCGAGCAATAAACAACGATTCGGTGGAGGGATAAAAGATAAAGAGATTGGGAAAGCGGTGGAGGGATAAAGACAAACACCTAGATGACATCTGCCATTTTCTTAGTCCGACAAAAATTTCCTTGGCTTTCGATCAGATTTCTACATTAGCAGGGCCCATTAGAAAAAAAGCAATAGAAAACAGAACCTTTCTGCAAATACTCGAGTTCTTTCAATATATGTTTCAACGCCATGAGAACCTCAGAGGAAATTAGAGATTTCGTTTCGTTAGTGTGAGCGTCAGAATACGGCTCACCGATCAAAGGTGATGTTATATTGCCTTTCAGACAATTTGGATGAAGTAACTGCTGTGAGATGTAAGAGCATGTTTTCATGAGCTGGCTTTGTATAGGAGAGCTTCAACGGCTGGTGATGAGCTTAACGATAAGTGTTCGATCGACTTCAAGCACTTGCCGTGGATACAATTGCTCTGACTGTGGCTTCTTAATTTCAATCCAGGGACGGGATACAATGATTGGCAATGGTTGCTTGGTTATAATGGGGGTGTTGGTTTGTAGTGTCGCCCAAGTAAGGCCTGATAATAGAAGGAATCAGATCAATTCCATCTCGGAATGAGTTGTCAAGAGGCCAGAACGTGGAAAGCGATAGTAGCAGGGGAAGGAAAGATCGATAAGCAAGGAGAGAGAGAGAGAGAGAGAGAGAGAGAGAGAGGGAGGAGATCACGATGGGAGATGAGTTGTAATGGTGGGTCGGTGGTCAAAGAGACAGAAATCGGTGGGGAGAAGAGAAGCAAAATGAAAACAATAGAAAAAAATAAAAAAACAGCAAAAAGAGAGGAAAACAGACGAGAACGAGAAGGTCGTTACCGAATCTGCCGTTTCAACAAGTTGTAGCGGCGGAACAAGGGAAGTGAAAGGAGGAGAAGGAGAGATAGAGAGAGTAGAGAAACGGAGAGAAAGAGGGAGAGAGAGGAGAGATTGAGAGGATGGAGGAGAGGGAGAAAGCAGATCGGAGAAGGAGTGTGTTCAGATCCGCTGCTATCCCTACCCCCAGGTTTTAAGCCCTATAAGCCTTATAAACCACCAGTTTTTTTATTGGTTACTTGAAAACTGATCAGATCCTTCGATTTTTTCAAAAGTACTAAATCGATCGATTCTAGGTTCGACAAGTTTTTCATGAACAGCCCTACACTTAGTGGGTAGCTTTTATGGGAAATATACTATTCTACCTTTCATGTTCATTTTGTTGTTTCTTTAATGCAACTTATTGATAAGTTTTAAATAAAGTCCAAGCTATCCTTGACCATGGACCATGGACCATGGACATTGACACTGGCTGATTGACAAATTTTGAACTGAAAGTGAAAAGATAAAAAAATGGAAGAATACAATCCTGACACATGTTTTAACCTAATTACTTCAAAACAAAAAGAAGATGAAGACCACAATGATATACAAATTTGTCAAGTCAATCCGTTGAAGGTTTAGCTAGGCTTGGAAATTTAGGGAGTATATGTTGTCACCAAAAACTTGCCAAGGTTTAATTCATAGTGACGCACCTATAGCATGAATTAGCCCCTCAAAACCTGTATGTGTAAAGAAAATTAAATGAGGCCGTGCTGTTTATTACTCTTGATTTCTTCCCTCCTACTGATCAATCTCAGCCCCACTTATGCCCAACTCTACGATGTTTGTTCAAACACCACCAGTTTTGCACCTAATAGCCTATTTGAAACCAATCTTAACATCCTTCTTCCTTCTCTATCTTCTAATGCAATTAACACCGGCTTCTACAACACCTCTGTCGGCGAATATCCGGACCAAGTATACGGGCTCATTCTCTGCAGAGGTGATATCACCCCTGAAGTTTGCCGGAATTGTCTGGAAACAATCATTGACGACGTCAAGCAACTGTGTCCTGACAGGAAAGGTGCAACAGTATGGTTTTTGATGTGTTTTCTGCGCTACTCTGACCATAGATTCTTTTCTTCAACGGAAGAGCTGGGAACCGTACACATTCAAACTACCACGAACATGACAGATCCAGATCGATTTCTTCCATTTGTGAAAGATTTCATGGGTAATCTTTCGTTCCAGGCAGCATTTGATCCTTCTAATAGCATGTTTGCGGTGAAGAAGGAACAGTTTACGGCGTTTATTACAGTGTATGGTCTGATGCAGTGCACCAGAGATTTATCAAGGAACGACTGTTACGAATGCTTACAGGTCGCCATGAAACATTATGAAAGTTGCTGCTATTTTAACAGAGCGAAAATTCTAAGGTTCAGTTGTTTCATTATAATTGAATTATACCCCTTTTATCAAGATTCAAGTGCAACCCTGTCTCCTCCTTTGCCGAGCATCACTTCAGAGGGTATGTATGGTTTCAATTTTCATTTTTTTATGCTTATTCATGATAATAAATTTGAAAATATGCCTCCAAATTAATCCATTATGCTAACAAACAAATAAACAAATAAATAAATAAAACATGTGACTAGGCCTCCTCTAAGAAAGGAACCATGTGTATATGGAGAACTAGCGGAAAGATTTAAACCCAATTTAGTTTCCTGATAAGGGGGTGTTCCTAATGTGAATGATTTTGTTTTCTAAAACAAAAAGTTCCATGTCAGCAAAAAACAATACATTTTTGCTGTTGTAGCAATTGTTTCTGTTTCAGAAGCCAAAACCAAACACATTGGCCAACACCCCCTAATTCAATGAAAGAACCCACTCCTAAGGCTTATAAGTCTTGCCATATAAAAAGTTGGTCCGAAATAAGTAAAATAGACGTCTAGTTGCCCCTCCTTGCAAGGGGATCTTTTGGTAGTTATATGATGATGATGATGATAAGGTGAAAAAAATAAAAGGAAAGATACTTCTGTGGGCATTAAGCTGCAGAATCTTGGGCATTTTCTTTCTAAAGTCTTCTTCCACCTCCTTTTTCTAATTCATCTAGAAGCCATCTTATTTGGACAATTCATGCACTTAGTAGTTGATGAAAATGTTAGGTGCTGCATCCTTCTCATTATCAATCAACTCTGTCATCATCAATCATCATAAGTGTTTTGGGTGCATTGCAGTTTTTGAGTACTGGTCAGATATCTTGCCTTAATAAAAGAAATTGGATTTGCTCAAATCAGTTCCATGGAAGAAAAAAGAACAGAGGTGTAGGGTAAAATGGTTATTGCCATCAACTTGCAAGTTAACTGCTCCCTTAACAATTTAACATCCTTCAATCAGGACTTTATGCTAATAACCTAATAGCTGAGATGGTCACTCGGTGTCACTTCAGAAAAGGAGATGTTGGATCAAACCTATGAACCTACAGCCTCTCCACTGTATGACCAAGTGGGCTTCACAAGCATCTACACTCTGCTCTGTTCCCTTCCCTAATTCCCCAATAAAAAACAGGGCTTAACAAAGCGCTTTGGTGGATGGCTTTTATAAGTTTTTTATGTTTAAAATGCAGAAGGATGGGAAATGATGCCTGTATAAACGGATTCATCGAGAATATTGGTTATAAGTTATAACTAAGCCAATGACAATGTTCTGAAGGCCTAATCTATGGTATTGACTGATGAGAGATCACAAATTTAAGTCCAAACCCCTCCTATAAATCCTAGTTTTGTAGCTCACATCCAGCTCAATGAAAGCAGGACATTAACCCATGAGCTTGAAAAACTAATACCAGTGGCAGTTGAGATCAGTATCCCGTTCAATGCTTAGCTATGTGACCATTGCCAAACGAAATTCTGGAAAGGATCGAAGGACATCAGTCCAAGTATAGGTGTTATCCATCAATGTTGCAAAAGTTGTAGCTAACATCAAGACCAACATTAAATTTTGATGGATTGTCCTCAAGAGTTATCAACATCATTGAATCTTTTGACTATCTGATCTATAGAGTATCTTTAGAGTCTAGTATACTTTTTTAATGTCCAAAAGAAATTAAGCTACTTGGTTGAAGACATTATTACATGAAATTTGGAATAGGTGGATTCTATAATATAAGCAGTCTTTTTTTCTTTTGAAGAAGAAGAAGAAAACTGAATTCAATAAGGATTCAAAAAGGGGGGGGGGGGGATGTACAGAGCCTTTTAAGCACAACAAAATCAAAGACAAAGCCCTCTAGAAAGGCAACGTATTGGAGCTACACAAAAAAATCCCTTCCCAGCCCAGATTTAGCTAGATTATCAGCCAATTGATTTAATTCTCTAGGAATCCATCTAAAGCTGCAATGTTAATAAGAGGCGACCTCCCTGATTTCTAACAACAGGTCGGATAACTTCCACAGGTCTAGAATTTGTCCTGAAGTCCAGTTAATAACATTTCTTGAATCACCTTCCGCTGCAATGCAGCTGAGCTGCTGTGATTTGGCGATTCTGAGGCCTTCCAAGAAGGTCCTTGTCTCTGCATCAGAAGCATCTTCTGCCTTGGCTGGTCCACTATAGACCCAAATCAATTCTCCATTTGCTCTTCAAATCAGTCCTCCAATTCCAGCCTTTGATCTGTCCTCAGCAGCTCTCCTAAAACAGCCATCGAAGTTCAGAATAAACTCACAGTCTTGTCTTGGGGTGATTTTAAGGGGAGGTTGAAGGTGAAAAGGAGAAGTTGATAGGGGCAGAACTTGATCTGAAAGCCTACTATTTGAGCTTCAATACATGGTTTTTATCTTACAGTTAGAAAATGCACGCCTTTTATTTTGTTCATGAACGTGTACTATCATCTGTTAAATCTCACAGATAAATTATAGTCAGTTATCTTCAGCCAGAAAATAAATAAATAAACAAATAAAAAAAGTCATTATGCACCATGTGCTGTAGCAAATGAAGTGGCTGGGAGAGTAAATATTTCTAAATGCAGGGGATGGAAGTAAGCAAACAAAAGTTGTTGTGGCTAGTGTACTGGCAAGTTTATTGCTACCAGTCTTCGTCTCATGTTTATGCTACATCTGGAGAAGAAAAGGTAAGAACCTTTGATAGGCATTTTAAAACTAGTAAATCTGCTACTTATACATGTTTTCTTTGTAGAGAGAACGAAAAAGAGGCAGCATACTCTATTGCTTGATTTGAAAGCAAGAAGTAGTACAAACCTCTCATGCAAAATTATGCAAACGGGAAAACAAGTTAATTCTCAAGAGTTGCCGTTGATTGACTTAGCTACTCTACAAGTTGCTACAAGTAACTTCTCTTTGGAGAATAAACTTGGAGAGGGTGGATTTGGTCCTGTTTACAAGGTATTGATTTTGATTAGTTCAACACTCAAAATGTTTGGTTACCTTTCTTAATTAACCATGTTGATGCTTTATTAGGGTGTATTGCCAAATGGAAAGAAAATAGCTGTAAAAAGACTTTCAAGAAGCTCAGCGCAAGGTTCAGAAGAATTCAAGAACGAGGTTACCTTAATTGCAAAACTTCAACACAAAAATCTGGTAAGGCTCCTGGGATGTTGCATAGAGAGAGAAGAAAAGATGCTTATCTATGAATTCATGCCAAATAGCAGCCTCAATGCCTTTCTCTTTGGTATGTAAGCTTGACTTCATTTTTATATCTCTACAACTCCATGAGATCCCCTGTTAAGTCCAAGTCCTCTTGCATTTCTGGACCTGTATAATAAAGAGTAATTCTTTTCCTCGTCAGATCGACAAAGAAATGCTCAGTTGGATTGGAGCAGGCGCCTCGGTATTATTAATGGAGTTGCAAGAGGTCTTTTATATCTTCATGAGGATTCTCGACTCAAAATAGTTCATAGGGACATAAAAGCTAGCAATGTTTTATTGGATGAGGAAATGAATCCAAGGATATCTGACTTTGGCATGGCTAGGATCTTTGCTGTCTACCAGGATCAAGATAAAACCAGTAGAGTCGTGGGGACATAGTAAAATCATCCTTTATCTTCTTTTTCTTCTTCTTACTCTTGTTCTTGCATGTAGCTACACACAACGTACTTGGTGTTGATTCAACTTATTTTGACTTGATATAGTGGGTACATGGCTCCAGAGTATGCTATGGCAGGGTTATTTTCAGTGAAGTCAGATGTTTTTAGCTTTGGGGTTCTGTTACTAGAGATCATAAGTGGTAAAAGGAACAATGGCCTCCAACTACCTGAGCTTTCTCAAAGCCTCCTCACATATGTAGGCTTCTCTGATCATTGATCCTTATCATAATTTAAGTTGTTCCAATATACCATGTATATTCTGAATATGACTATATTAAATAAAATTGCAGGCATGGAGACTATGGTCTGAAGGCAAAGGCTTGAATTTCTTAGATCCTTCCATAATTGATTCATGCCCAACAAGTCAAGGGTTGAGATGCATCCACATTGGGTTACTGTGTGTTCAGGAAGTAGCAGCAGACAGACCCACAATGTCGAATGTTGTTGTCATGCTGGGTAGTGAATCCATAGCTCTTCCTCAACCCAAGAAGCCAGCATTTTTAGTTGAACATCTTGTTATTAATTCGGATCAATCTTCATCCAGTGCTAATGTTGGATCCGTCAACGATGTAACCATTTCAAATGTTGCACCTAGATAATTAACCACATTCACATTTACTATATCATGTTCAGAAATTTTCCTTTTTGCCTTTTACAATTCTTGGGTAAAACAACAGTATAGGACAAAGCCACAAGGTGCAATAAGCAACAACCGCACGAAAAAGAAAAGGCATTCATGTTCTTAACACAGAATGTTTATGAAAAGAAAATTAAATCCTCTTGTCTATAGAAACACTTTACCATGAGACGACATGTTGGAAGTCCTTGCTTGATGCAGTATTAGGGTGAATGCTCTTATTTTCTTCTTTACTAGTCATGCTCCGTAGCTCTTGCAGTGAGGAGCCTGTCCACCCTGAATGCTCTTCAAATAAAGCTAACGACATGCTAATGGGATGTTCTAAGTCCAAACTCAAGGCTGTCCTAATACCATATGGGTAGTTTATTACTTGCTGGGTCAATGCTCAAATAAGTCTATAGAATCAATGCCACCATGTGCCATAAATACTGATGCAGTGTTGCCTAGGCAAGAGAATGAGAGATCATCAATCCCCACCTTTGATTGAATTATTTCCCATGCAACCCTGCAAGTGATCTCTGGCAATGCACCCATAGGCACAGCTGCCAGTTTATTTTTCTTCAAAATTAGTCTTTACCACACCTTTATCCAAGCCCACTTCTCTGTATGTATACCACAGGAGGAGTTTTCCATTCAATGGCATGATGAAACAGAGACTCTAGGTTAGAGGTAGATTTAGGCAATATATACCTAACCCATTTTACGGGATTATTGGGTTGAGAAAACTGATTTCCCCTTATCTGTAATGGAATCTACTGGCACTTTCATAAATATAGCCAACCTTTAAATTGGGTTAATTTCTGTTTTTTTTTTTCCCTAAAGTTGATTTTATTCTTAGTTGAAGCCATAGAGAGTCTATAAAGAGTTTCAGTTGTGTTGAGAAATCGTTAAGCATGGTTTCTGCATTACCTCTATGGACCAATGAATCACAGGGGTTCTTTTTATTTCATGTATTGGTTACCAGCGATCGAGCTCATGTGTTTACACTTTACAGATGATATGAATTCACCACTGAACAATAAGCCCCACATCAAAATAGACTACTTTTATCGTCTAACTCATTTTTCTGGGCTTATTGTAAAGAGTCTAGTTCAAGTTTCAGATCATTGACCTGATCCGTTAAGCACTTTATCTTTGTAAATGCTTTATCATTTCCTTGCTGAAGTTCCTCTCTCAACTGTTTATTTTCTGTTTTACATTTCGCTCATTTTTGCATTTAAAGAGTCCACCTCCAGTTGTAGATTATTGATCTTTTCTTTTATGTCCTCTACTTGATTTTAAGTATTTGTTGAAAAATAGAAGTTAATACACATTGCCACAACATTATATTGCTCAATGCATAATTTGTGATTGATATTCAATCCTTGTACTTCTAATTTGTTTAAACATTAGGCTAGAATGAAGTAGTTAAGTTTATATTGCATAATTAATAATTAGATTTCCATACATATTTTTGTCTCTAAAAATGTGATTTCTAACTAATTTTCTATTATTCTCTTATAGCTTAAACATGTTAAAGGAGATACTTCACATGTGTGGCTGAACACCAATATGATCAAATTTTACACGTCAAGTTTTTTTTTTCTTTTTTTTTGGAGGGGGGATTGAGTTTCATATATTCAAGAACCTTGAATTTGTAATAGGTTTTAAACACATGGATGTATTAATACACCTTGAAATGTAATTCATTTTTTCATTATAAAATATTTGATATAGGAAAAAAATGCCATCAATCATATATCAATAATTTTACCTATGAATAGTTAAAAACCGTAGCTATGATTCATGCATTTTTGCTACAGACTGCTTAGACCGTAGCTATAGGTTCTTATTTTTAGCTACCGACAAGGTAAGTTCAGTTATAGTTTTTTAATTTTAGCTACGGTCAAGGTAAATTGTAGTTAGAAATTCATATTTTTAGCTATGGTCATTTCTAAACCGTAGCTATAAATCTAAATGTTATAGCTTCGAGCACTTGGAAACTGTATACCAAAAAAGCAACATTTGGCTACGGTTATAAAAAAATTGTAGCTATATAGTCAAATTTGTAGCCACTGTTATCTAAGAAACCGTAGCTAAAACTTCACATATAATTATTGAATCGCGCTTTAGTCCTACGATTGATAGCATTTGTAGCTATTGCCTATAGCCACTGCAATTGTAGCTTCTGTTTTCTAACCGTAGGTAGCCCGTAACTATAGACCTATAGCTACGGTTTTGTGAATTTATAGCTATGATTTTATTCAGAAGTCTGTCGTCGCTGCTACCGCTCGCCGCTGTTTGTGTATCATAAAGTTGGGGAAGATGAATAATATTTTTCTCCGAATAGTTATTATGAGAGTAATATAGGAATTAAAAATTATTGCAATAACACATTTCAACGAAAGACTAATGGAAGCAGGTCTTTGATGTCTCAAGGTCAAAGTAAAAGGGGTCTTTATCGCAAAACAAAGTATTGAACGTCTTTGTCACAGACCCCATAATACGGGAGAGGTCTTTATAATTTTTCTATCCTTCATACATGTTCATCTTTAACGCAACTTATTATTGATAAGTTTAAAATAAAGTCAAAGCTATCCTTGACCTGGACCACGGACCATGTACGTTGGCACTTTCTGGCTGCTTGATAAATTTTGAATTGAAACTGAAAAGCTTAGAAGAAAGGTAACACGTGTTTTGACCTAATTACTTTAATTAATTAATTGAAAGAAAGAGAAGACAAGGACCACACAATGATCTGAAAACTTGTCAAGTCAATCCGTTGAAGATTTAGCTAAGCTTGGAAATTTAGGGAGTATATGTTGTCTTTTATAATAATAAACTTGTCTAGGTTTAATTCATAGAGACACGCCTATAGCATGAATTAGTCCCTCAAAACCTGAATGTGTAAAGGAAATGAAATGAGGCCGTGCTGTTTATTACTCTTGATTTCTTCCTTCTTACTGATCAACATCAGCCCTGCTTATGCCCAACTGTACCATGTTTGCTCAAACACAACCAGTTATACACCTAATAGCCTATTTGGAATCAATCTTAACATCCTTCTTCCTTCTCTATCTTCTAATGCAATTAGCACCGGCTTCTACAACACCTCTGTGGGCGAATATCCAGACCAAGTATACGGACTCATTGTATGCAGAGGTGATATCACCCCTGAAGTTTGCGGGAATTGTCTGGAAACAATCATTGCCGACGTCAAGCAACTGTGTCCTAACGGGAAAGGTGCAGCATTATGGTTTTTGATGTGTTTTCTGCGCTACTCTGACCATAGATTCTTTTCTTCAACGGAAGAACTGGGAACCGTACACAATCAAACTGCCACGAACATGACAGATCCAGATCGATTTCTTCCATTTGTGAAAGATTTCATGGGTAACTGATGTAACCGTTTTTGGTCACGTACCATTTTTTGGGATGTATAAATTTTTTTTTGGTTAAGTACCTCGCGTTTGACCTGGTGGTGACGTGCCTTGGTGATGAGCTACTTGGTGGCGAATTTCCTGGGGGAGAACTGCCTGGTGGCGAACTGCCTGGTGATGCTCCCTGGTGGCAAATTGCCTAGGGGCGAACTGCCTGGTGGCGAACTGCCCGGTAGTGCTCCCTGGTGGCGAACTGCCTGATGGCGAACTGCCTGGTGGCGCTGCCTGATGGCGAGCTGCTTGGTGACGAACTGCCTGATGGCGAACTGCCTGGTGGCGAACTGCCCGGCAGTGCTCCCTGGTGGCAAACTGCCTGATGGCGAACTGCCTCGTGGCGAACTGCCTGGTAGTGCTCCCTGATGGCGAACTGCCAGGTGGTGAGCTACCTGGTGACGAACTGCCAGGTGGCGAACTGCCTGGGGGTGAACTGCCTGGGGGCGAACTTCCTGGTGGCGAACTGCCCGGCAGTGCTCCCTGGTGGCGAACTGCCTGACGGCGAACTGCCTGGTAGTGCTCCCTGGTGGCGAACTCGTCACTTGCTCCTAGGCGGTCTGCAACTCAGAGGATGGTGGAGCTCCCTGGTGCAGCGCTACCCGAC